ACTCTGAGAAACAAACTGAGGGTTCTGGGGGGGGGGATGGGTTAGCCCGGTGATGGGTATTAAAGAGGGCATGTTCTGCGTGGAGCACTGGGTGTTATGCACAAACAATGAATCATGGAACACTACATCAAAAACTAATGATGTAATGTATGGTGATTAACATAACATAAAAAAAAATTGGCTTGTAAGCTTATACTTCACACATGGTTACCCATCCTCTACTCTGTCCCTCTACCTGGACTCACAAGTATCACTGGGGTCCTCTTCTGTGTCCTCTTAAGCTACAGAAAACTGAATGGAGATGCCACTGTCTTATTTCCAAGTCAATCCCAGATGTTGCTGCTCTCATCCATAGAACTGATTTCGCATCTCTGCAATGCTTTTCAATTAACATTCTCCCACCTTTTAAATGCCTGCCATTTTTCTCTCTATAAAAGGAAGCCTGCCTGTGACTGTTTCCCTGCCTGTCTTCCTGTTTTCATTTCTTTCTTTCCTGTTACCATTTTGCTTCTAAATTATGATGATGATACCTGTTAAAACTTCAAACACAAAGCCATGCAAAACACTGTTCCAGTCTCTCAAAAAATAATAGTAACAAAGCCTGTACTTTACAAACCTCTCATTAGACCAAGAGGGCTCTGGCTGCAGTTGAGATTGTTAGATCTCTCCAGAAAGTCCCAAGTTGTGTTATCAGGTTAGCAAAGACAACTCCAAAGATGGTTTTAAGATGTGTTTATCAGTCAAGGTTCTACAGAGAAACAGAACCAAGACAGATTGATATATATATGATATAGGTACAGACCTAGAGAACATAGTGTATATGAGAGATTCATTTTAAGGAATTGGCTCATTAGCTTGTGGGGCTGGCATGTCTGAAATCTGAAGCCAGTCACCAGGCTCAGGTAACTGATGATGCAGTTCCTGAGGTAGAATTTTTCTCCAGGAAGCTTCAGTTTTTGCTTTTAAGGCCTTCAACTTCTTGAATGAGGTCCACACACATTAAGGAGGACACTCTACTTTCTTTAAAGCCATGTGATTAAAGCACATCTACTAGGGTATGATGGTAAATACAAGGGTTAATAAACCACGTCGACAAGACTAGAGCGGGCAGTTAGGAAGGAGGAGGCTTGGACAACACATTACCACTTATCGATGACAATTGAGCCTACGGCTTGATTTTAACATTACAATGGATCCATGACATAGATAAAATGATCATCATTCTAGAGCCACCTGAAAAATAATGAGAACTAGTGAGATGTTGGGTGTGTTAGGCAGAAATAAAATATACTGATATCAATACCTTTCCTATATAACAGCAGGAAGAAATTAGTACAATGGAAAAATAAGTTAATTTGCAATAGAAACAAAAGTTGTAAAATATTTAGAAACAAAATTATCAACAATACTTTTGCAGCTTTAGAAAAAACATTAATGAATTAGCTTAACTCCAAAAAATTAGATTGGTTCAGCTATCCACCAATTTCTATGCCACTGCTGCATTTTTTGTTCATTATAGCTTTATAATGCAGTTTATTATATGATACATTAAATATCCCTCTCATTTCTCTTCTCATATTTTGTATTCTTAAACATCCTCAGCCATTTAGTCTTACCAATGAACTTTAATATCACTTTGACAAATTTCCGCATAATGGAATGATAAATTGAAACTGCCGTAATAATGTAGATGTATTTGAGAAAAGGTAACATCAATAGAACATTGAGTTTTGTTATCCAGAATCACTTGCATATATCTTTTAAATATTAGGGCTGTGGCATAGAGGGGATGGGAGAAGATTATGAACTTCCTCAGTTTATATCTTTATAATCTTTCACAAGTTAGATTAAAAATACAATGTTCATTATTAAATAACTTGGGCCTCTCGGTGATTAAAACAAGAACCTTTCCAATCTCATTTTCTATTCTGTACAGAGGAGAAAATAAAATGAGTTCTTAGTACTAATTCCAATAATATTGACAATTATTAACATTTACTGAGCATTCACTTATTTCTCAGGCAGTATGTTGACTGAATTTACATGGATTATCTATTTATAAAAATTTATACCATAAACTCCATTTTCACCTCTATCTTATGGTTTCAGGATTCAATAAAGCAACACGTGGAAAACACTTTTAAAAGTGAAAATCAACATGGAAATATAAGAAAATATATTATTCAAACATTTGATTCCATCTCTAGTGAAACACATTTGTAGATATTTGCTTTCCTCCTTAGACTCTATATTGTTACCTGTACTTTGAATACACTTTCCTTCTAGCTGATTTGAAGCTCTACTGGGTTTTTTTTTAAAGATTTTAGTTTTTATTTTATTTATTTATTTAGAGAGAGTGAGCAGGGGGAGGGGCAGAAGGAGCGGGAATCTCAAGCAAACTGTGCTAAGAGCCCGGAGCCTGACTCGGGGCTCAATCTCATGACTCTGAGATCATGACCTGAGCCAAAACCAAGAGTGAGACACTCAACTGATTGAGCTACCCAGGCACCCCAAAGCTCTACTGTCAAATTGTTATTTTATATGAAAAGGCAGCAAATCCATCCAAAAAGTTTACCTGAGAGTGTGGACCTACTACATAGTTCCAAGAGATAAAGATGGAGAAGGTGGAGGGAGCAAAGGTATTATCTGACATGCTCTGTGCAGCAACATGTAGCCCTGACCAACCATGGGGATGTGTAACGTTGCCGTGCAAGTCATAGAAGGTGTTATGATTGGGTGTCGGGCTGGCTCAGATGGTTAAGCATCTGTCTTCGGCTCAGGTCATGATCCCAGGGTCCTGGGTTCAAGCCCCGCATCGGGCTCCCTGCTCAGGGAGGAGTCTGCTTCTCTCTCTCCCTCTACAACACCCTCACTGCTCGTGCTCTCTCTCTCTTTCAAATGAATAAATAAAATCTTAAAAAAAAGAAGATACTATGATTAATGTATTCTAAAAAGAATGTAGTGAAAAATGATGAAAGCTCCTATCTTAAGTGAGCAGACAAAACAATGTAATAGCTTGTCTATGTAGCTACAATATTTTAAAAAGAAAAGTAGATAAAAATAATTTACATAACAAACTTGGTGAATCACTGTTATACACTTAAAACTAATGTGACATTGTCTGTCAACTATACTCAAATTTTAAAAAAAGGAAACAAAATCCATTCACATAACAATGGTGTGTCAACTATACTCAAAGAAAAAAAGGAAAAAAATCCATTCACAACACTGTGTGTCAACTATACTTGAGTTAAAGAAAATGAGGAAGAGAATCAGTCAGTAAGAGCATGTGACTCTCCATCTCAGGGTCATGAGTTTGAGCCCCACATTGGGAACAGAGTTTATGTTAAAAAAAAAAAAAAAAGGAGGGATACCTGGGTGGAACAGTCGGTTAAGCAGCTGCCTTCGGCTCAGGTCATGACCCCGGGGTCCTGGGATTGAGCCCCATATCGGGCTCCCTGCTCAGCGGGGAGCCTGCTTCTCCCTCTCCCTCTGCCTGTCGCTCCCTCTGCTTGTGCTCTCTCTCACGCTCTCTGACAAATAAATAAATAAAATCTTTATTTAAAATAAAAGGAAAAAGTCCCTTCACAGCTGAAGAAAATTTTTAAATGAAAATAACTAAGAAACAAATTAGCAAGGATTGGTCAGGATTCCCTTAAAAAAGAACTTCCAAACTATTCTGAATATAGAAACCAGGTATATATACTTATGATTCTAGGAGATCCAATATTGTAAAGCTAATTATATTAAATGTTCCAAAGTGATTTTACTTTTTTAAATAAAAAAGTGACATTAGTTTCATTTGAATAACAACCAAAAATGATGAAACAATTAAAGGAAGCCCTTCAAAACTTGGAGGATTTTGTCTTCAAATTTTCTTCTAAAGCTATAATACATAAAGCAATCATGGCCCCAAGAATTGATAAGAGAACAGTGTAACAGAATCAACAGTCCAAATGCTGTGGGGAAATATTGTAGTTGCACAGAATAATGTTAAAACCTCATTTACTGTATACATGCAAATGCCTCCCACATAGCTGATGAACTGATTTTTAAAATCTAAAACCTTAACCTATAAGAAGGCCTACTACGTATTGTGAGCAAAGAAGAGTATGATGCAGAATCCTTTGGAGAATACATCAAACAGAATTACATTTTAATACTAAATACCATATATTATATATTGAAAGGATGAAACTGCTATGAGTTTTGTTTTATTTTTTTATTTTTTTTTTAAAGATTTTATTTATTTATTTGAGAGAGAGAGAATGAGAGATAGCACGAGAGGGAAGAGGGTCAAAGGGAGAAGCAGACTCCCTGCCGAGCAGGGAGCCCGATGCGGGACTCGATCCCAGGACTCCAGGATCATGACCCGAGCCGAAGGCAGTCGCTTAACTGACTGAGCCACCCAGGCGCCCTGCTATGAGTTTTTAAAAGATAAGCTTCAGGAACAGCAAGAAAATAAAACTACAGTCTAATATCTCTGAAGAACATAGATGCAAAAAATCCTCAAAATATTAGCAAACTGAAGTCATCAACACATCAAAAAGATTATACACCATAGCTAAGTAGGATTTATACATGGGATGCAAGATTGGTATAACATATGCAAATCAATTAATGTGTTACACCATACAACAGAATGAAAGCTAAATATCACAGGATCATCTCCAAAGATTCAGAAAAAGCCTTTGACAAAGTCTAACATCTGCTCATAATAAGAACTATAAACAAAATAAGCATAAAAGGAAATGTCCTCAGCATGATAAAGGCCATTTATGAAGCCCACAGCTAACATCATAATCAATGGGGAAACACTGAAACATTTCCCTCTAAAACCCAGTATGAGACATAGATGCCCACTCTTGCCACTTATATTCAACATAGTACTGGAGGTACTAGCAAGACAAATGAGACAAGAAAGAGAAATTTTCTGGAAAGAAAGAGGTAAAATTATTTGTTTGCAGATGACATGATTCTATAGGTAGAAAACCCTAAAGTCTACACACACACACACACACACACACACACACAACACACACACAGAATTAGAATACACAAATTCAGTAAAAGTTGCAAGATGCAAATCAACATACAAGTGTCAGTTGCATTTCTTTACATCAACAAAGATCTATCAGAAAAAGAAATCAAGAAAGCAATCCCATTTACAATAGCATCAAAAAGAAGAAAATACTTAGGAATAATTTTAACCAAAGAGGTTAAAAGTCTGTACACAGAACTCTAAGGCACTGCTGAAAAAAACTGAAGACACAAATAAACGGAAAGATATACCATGTTCACGGATTGAAGAATATTGTTAAAATGACCATACTACTTACAAGTAACCTACAACTTCAATGCAATCCCTATCAAAATTCCAAAGGCATTTTCCCAAAGAAATAGGAAAAAAATCCTACAATTGGTATGAAACCAGAAAGGACCCCAAACAGCCAAAGCAGTCTTGAGCAAGAGTAAAGCTTGAGGCATCACACTTCCTGATTTCAAATTATATTATAAATCTATAGTAATCAAAGCAGAATAGTGCAGGCAGATAAAAAGACAAAGACCAATGCAACAAAAGAGAAAGCCCAGTATTCAACCAAAGCATACAAGGGCACCAAGAACACACAATGAAGAAAGCTCAGTCTCTTTAATTATTAGTGTAGGGAAAACTGAATATCCACTAAGAATGAAACTGGACGCTTACCTTACACTATACACAAAAATCAACTCAAAATGGATCAAAGACTTAGATCTAAGACCTGAAATTGGGTAAGACCATAAAACTAGAAAAAAATAGGAAAAAAGCTTTTTGACATTTTCCTTGGCCATGATTTTTAAGGCATGACACTAAAAGCTCAGGCAACAAAAGCAAAAATAAGTGGGACTATACTAAAAAACATCTGTACAACAAACAAAACAATCAACAAAATCTAAGGGCAACCTACAGACAGGGAGAAAATACTTACAAACCATGTATCTAAAGGGTTAATATCCAAAAATACATAACTCAATAGCAAAAACCCAAATAATCCAATTTAAAAAAGGGGCAAAGGACCCAAACAGACATTGTCCCAAAGAGCCAACAAGTACATGAAAAGATGTTCAAAATCACCAACCTTTAGGGAAATGCAAATCAAAACCATAATGAGATATCACCTCACAGCCTGTGAGGGTAACCATTGTGAAAAATATCAAAGATGGGTGTTGGCAAGGATGTGGAGAAAAGGGGA